CGACTATCGGGGTGAGGGCCACTGGCCGATAGTCATTCAGACCAGTCACTGTCGAGCTTTTTGGGACTGGGATGATGGTGGCAGTCTTCAGGCAAGTGGGAACTGTCTCCAGGGTAAGTGAGGTGTTAAAGATGTCTGCCAGCACCTCACAGAGCTGATCAGCACATTCCTTCAACACTTTTCCAGGGATGTTGTCTGTGCCAGTTGCCTTGTGCGGATTAATCCTCCTGAAGGTACTCCTTACTTCCAGCAGGGTACGCACCTCTGCATTCAGCCAAGGTTTTCTGTTTGGGTAGCTTTTAACATTTCTGATAGTGGAGACGGTGTCAGTACATGTACTAATGTAACCCAGAACTGAGGATGTGTATTGGTCAAGATCAAGCGATCCTCCATTTTCAGCAGCTTCTCTGAAAACCTGCCAATCTGTTCGGTCAAAACAATCTCTCAGTATGGGGCCACTGTCCTGGATCCAGCATTTAACTTTCTTTTGTACCGGTCTGGAGCGTCTCAGCGGGGGCATGTAAGCAGGAGCCAGGTTAAAGTCTCCGGCTACAACGTAAAGAGCCTCGGGGTGTTTGCTCTGCAGCGAGCTGATGATATCATGAAGCTCCTGCAGTGATTCATTAGCATTAGCGTCCGGAGGAATGTAGACGACAGTGATGAAAGTCACCGTGAACTCTCGGGGTAGATAATGTGGCCGACATTTCACTGTTATTTGCTCCAAAGCCTTCGAGCATGAGCTATTTACAACAGTACAGTTCGTGCCCCAACTTTTACTCACGTAAATGCACACTCTGCCTCCCCGTGATTTCCCCGTTAGCTCGCTGCAGCGGTCCGCTCGAAAAAAAAGTCTGTCATCCAGCTGGAAGACTGAGTCCGGCGTTTCCCTTGTAATCCACGAAATCCGTGAAACACACGTCAGACACGTCATGTTCATGAAACGCATGTGAAACACGTTAAACACACGACAGACACTTGAAACTCGAGTCAGACACATGAAACTTCTTTTAACCTTGTGTGAGTTGTGGTCTTTTATGTTACAGGGGGGTTATAACCTTCAGGCGACAGCAGAGGGGGTTGCAGCCTGTGTCAGAGCTCTTCTGGGTGGAGCCTGTCCTCCCCTGACTCTGCCCACTGCTCCCTCTGACAGGTAAGACAGAGAACAGACATCTTGTTGGACGATGACATGGCTGGCGTTGTGTGACCTAGTTTGAGTCCGGTTCTGACTCTGGATCTGTGTCTCTCAGTGCTCTGCAGTCCATCTCTCAGACCATCTCAGCTCAGTGTCCATACTGGGCATCACTGCAGGTCTTAGGTAGAGCACATGAATGCACGCACGCACACATGTGCACACATCAACTGAGAGTTAAGGTGTTTTCTGCTTTGAGGTGATCCATCGGCTGACGGTGATGTTATCAGAGCATCATCCGGTGAGAAGAGCACCATAACTGCTTCCCCCACCCCATCTGTTTCCATGACAACTGGCCTGGTCTATGACGAGAGGATGATGGAGCACATGAATCTGTGGGACAGGTGAGTTACCTGCTTCCTTACAGTAACATGCTCCGATGGAAACATGAAGATACAAACCCAGTCATGTGATCATGTGGCAGACATCACCCCGAACAGCCGCAGAGAATCTTTAAGATTTTCTCCAAACATCAGCAGCTGGGGCTGGTCCATCGATGCCAGCAGATACCAGCTCGCCTAGCCACAGAGGAGGAACTGGCCATGTGTCACAGGTGAGGAGGTGCTCTGTGTGTGCGTGCGTGCGTGCGTGCGCGTGTGAGTGAGAATCACTTGACATGACGTCCTCACAGAGATCTTCTGATTGTGTGTGCTTCAGCATGCAGTACATTGGGCAGATGAAGGCGACAGCCATGATGAAGCCTCGAGACCTTTACAGACTGGGACACGAGTTCACCTCCGTCTTCCTCAACAAACAGAGCTTCCAATGTGCCCAGCTGGCTGCAGGAAGCTGCTTTAATGCTGTGGACTGCATCCTGGATGGACAGGTAAGTGGAAAAATATCACGTGTGCTTTTCATGGCTCAACTGTGTCACTCCTGAAAAGATCATAACATTAGCATTAACCACAATATCATCCATCATCTTTTACCCACTTCTTCCATTTGGGGTCACGGGGGTCGCCGGTGCCCATGTCTAGCAATGTCTGTGCGAGAGGCAGGGGACACCCTGGACAGGTGTCCAGTCCATCACAGGGACACATGGAGACAAACGAGACAAACAACCATTCTCTCTCTCACCTAGGGACAATTCAGAGTTACCAATCAGCCTAACATGCATGTTTTTTGGTCTGTGGGAGGAAACCGGAGTACCCAGAGAAAACCCACGCAGCACGGAGAGAACATGCAGACTCCACCCAGAAAGGCCCCCAGACAGAGATGTGAACCAGGGACCTGCTCGCTGAGAGGCAGCAGCTCTACCAACTGCACCACCGTGCTGCCCCCCACAACATCATAAAGATTAAAATTTATGTTACCATCAGCAGGCTTTAACAGGCTAACTACAAGCTAACAACAGGCTAACTACAAGCTAACAAC